TCCAGTCAACTCTATCCTGCGTTCTCCTTTCTAGTTGTTGCCGGGTAATTTTCATATTTTTGATATCTGCCGTCAATCCCCGGCACCTCATGTTCTTTGACCTCCCTTCTTTTCCCTAGCCTTAATGATTCTAAGTTGGGTTTTACCTTGTGGTGAAGTTACATGAATTCTGTACTGCTTGTCCTATCCACTTTCAGTGTTTTTTTCTTAATTTTCTCATCATCTAAGAGCCGGTTGGTTCTCTTTTACAGTAGGTAATACCTAATGATCTCTAATTGATCTAGAGTATCTTGTGTTGACAGCCGTTTAATAATATCTGTAGCTTTTTATGGTGGTTGGGGTAATTGGAATTTCCCCACTGTACAATAGAACTGTTGGAACGTTAGTGTTGACTTTGGTTTCGAATAAAAACTGTTCTGAGTACCAAATATTCTTCAGTTAAGATCTTTGAACGATATGGCTTAAAATCGGTAGCGGATGTCACATTTCTATGGTATTTTATATTTTTCTATCCATCCATTGAAAAGAAAGAAGAACATTTTATAGAAATTCAAATACCTTAGATATAAGAATGGAAAACGTAGTTGTAGCGTCTGAACTGTTAGAAAACTTGAATAATTGAATACGGTTAGAATTGACTGTGAAAAAACATTTTAAAAATATGTTTTGAATATAAGCAAAGATGAATAGTGATTAGTAGTGGAATACAGGACGTGCGTTTTGTCCTATTTCAGACTCATCGGTTGGATGTACCTACATCTCAGAGTTGATTTTCACTCTGGGACTTGAACTCAGTACCGTTCGCTTAAAACGCCATCGCGTTATCCACTTAGCTATTGAGTCCTGATAGGAAGATTCAAGTAAAACAATACCAAGTATGTTTTGAATAATTATAATTTGTGTGCATGGTAAGGAGATATTTGTTGTTATATCCTAAAATCGGTGGTAGTCGTACGGTGTTCCAGCCAGACTGCTTAGTCAAGCCTTTTGTATTGAAGCCTAGTGGCCCTTCTGTAATGGATTCCGTGTTTTCAAAGCTCACAAACCCACCGCATGGATGTGGTTTTATGGGGAACCACAACCCTACGGGTCTTGGAGTGGGTGTCTCACCAAGAAGGGTAAGTAAAGGATTATTTGAGGTTTTACCCTGGATAGTTACAACCTACTTGCATACTAGATGATACACAGTCTCTCATCCATGTATCCCTTGGCATATATACATGTATACCTACCCTGTGAATACGTATACCGGTAACACACTGGTTTTATCCCTTGCATCCCATTGCGTGAATATAAATATATTCACCCACTTGGGAGGGTAGATATTCACCGCCCCCTTTGAAATAAATTTGCTACAGCAGACTGGCTTACACATTACATGCATATCATTGGCGCGGCCGCTATCTCCCCAGTACTTCATGACACACACATAAACATAAAGATTCTCTCAGGGGAGGTTGTTGGTCACCTCTTCTTAGTAATTGCTGCTGTATCCTCTAATTATGTCTCCTACTTGAGAGATTAGTCTGTTGATTTTGTTATCGTGTTTTTAGATAGAGTAGAATTTAGGACGAGCGTTTCGTCTTATTTCTTTAGAACTTGTCAGTATATGTACATTTAGGTGCTGTAAAGTCTTGAGAATGGAATGAAATGAGGCTTTTGATTTTGTTAATTATTTAGCTATAGTTTAACGACTAACAAGAAATCAAATTTATATCAAGCTCTGTTCAGCATTGATAATTGAATATGTTTATCGTCATACTGAATGTATCTATGTCAAATATACTTTTTAAATTTTCTCAATGTACACTATACATTAACATTACATCGTTTGGAAGAGCACTTAAATGCACACATGTTTATGTGTGTGTGTGTGTGTATATTCATCACAGCATGCCAAAAAAATAACTTAAAACATTTTGTCAAATATTTCATCATGTTTATATTAAAAGTAACAGTTATGCATAACACTATTTTGTAACCATATAGTTATAATTAAATGTATGCATCATGTGATTGTGATGATGTAGTGAAACACAATTTTGTCTTCTCCAAATTATTGTAACCTTGGTACACTCTTGTTACATTTACATATCTATATCTGTTTATTTGTCAATGAATGATGATATGTGCATGTGTATGTCCATGAGAATTACGGACAGATTACTTTTTTAAAATCTCTAGAAAATATAGTAATTGAATACTATTGAGTTGTGTTGTTGTAGTTTGATGCTAGTTTTCGAAGTTGTAAAGAGGTGTTATGTGAGATTATGGATGACCTTTGAGTGACGCTAAAGTGACCCTGAGAATAGTTACCTACTAACTAGGACTAAAATAAGGGTTATAAACCAGTGTGAGAAAGTAGAATTATGATTTACAGTTGATGATTAGGGTTAGAAACTACATTTAGAGTTTTCATCACCAACTGATATAAGCTAAAATGCCAAAATGATATTTAGCCAAATAGGTTGGAGATTTTTAGAAATTTTTAGCTTCAACTGACTCAACAGTTCAATCTGTGAAAATTTCTAAAAATCTCCACAAAACACATTCTGATAATAATAATAATAATAATAATAATCACCTGCTCACTAGTGACTGACTTCAGGAGACACTTCTGGAGTTCTAGTGAGAAGTCGTTACCAGTGGAGTTCAACCAGGTCTGTTGTGAGATAGGAACTCACTGAAGACAATGGTGTACGGTAGCGCAACTTCGTGGATTGGTTGAAGTTAGACATTAACACCGTTGGATGCCGGCTCAGTGGTCTAATGGTTAAGTGCTCGCGCGCGAAGCCAGTAGGTGCTGAGTTCGAGCCCCGGGTGGTGCGGGGTCGTGGATGCGCACTGCTGAGGAGTCCCATACTAGGACGAAACGGCCGTCCAGTGCTTCCAGGTTTTCAATGGTGGTCTAGCTTCAACTGACTCAACAGTTCAATCTGTGAAAATTTAGCCAAATAGACGAATTTCACGCAAAAATACAAGATCTGCTATCTTATATCTGATTGGTTCGTCCATAAAAATTATAGTCTCGCCAGACGAAATAACTTTCTAATGTTTCGTAGTTATCAACGTTTTTTTAAAACTGAACTCAGTTACAATAAACTTACATTATTATGGCAATCTTACCCTATAGATGAGACTAAATCATTATTGTCGTTTGTGATATTTTTGTCTTTATGTTCGATCATGAATCCAAACTGTACACTGGTCATGGCTTCTCACTAGGACTTTTCAAAGTTAACCACTAGTAAGCACAACATATCATCATAAGAAAGATTATTGAGTTCTTTATTGATTCATTGGATCCAAATGCTTAATACTAACTTCATATATATAGTAGTGAACGAGAACACATGAATGGGGGACAACCAAATGTATTTGAATACAAAATTACAGAATTTCTTAGTAAAATCTGAGAACTATACAGTACAAAAATACTTCATTTGCGAACTATCCGTCAATTGTATCAGACTGTGTTATTTCTTCGTTCCCATGCCAATCACTGCATTCGGTCTGTTCTCTTCGATTTCCTCAGTTTTCTGCCTCCAGGCATTCCGATTTCGATTGGTGATACATACTACTTATATCCGTCGACATCAATAGCACACACCACTATATATATAATGTAGATTACTAATTATAATCGTTTCGAAATTGACGTTGATTGAATATCTAAGATAAATATTATTTCATATAAAAAGAAAATTATTATTATTATTATTATCTCATTGTTGCATGTGAATTAAAACGGATCGTAAGATCGTGTGTTTGTGTATATGTGAATGTATATTGTATATATGTATGAGTGTTTGTGGGTCGATGAGTGCTCTTCATGATGGTGATGATCATCATGTGTTGCTGTAATTTGCTAAGTTAATCAGGCTGATCGGTCAATCAATCTTTTTTTTCTTCTCATTTATCTTATCAATGTGATTCACAATGATAAGATTTATGATGATGTAGTAAGTAAGATTTTGATCATGTGTGTTTTTCTCTTGAATATATTTAGATTTATTAAATAATTATAATCTGATCATTGTTTTATACAGGTCAGATTTTATACTTTATGATTATAATCAATGACCACGTCATATCGTCTATTAACTGTAGTTAGAAATGTGAACGTTTGGATTTCGACTGAGTGATGGGAGAGATCGCTTAAGTTTTACAAAAAATTGCTTCATTTGTAACATAAATAAGATATCCATTTGACAACGATAAGACGAATAAACTGAACAGTAGTCAATTTTGTGTTGCTCTATGGTTGTGAATCATGGTCTATAGAAGAAGAGGATATTCACAAGGTTCAGGGTTTGGACCGTAGATGTCGTTGAAGCGCCCCTCGTGCATAGTAAATATTCAAGTTGGCAATGTGGAGGCTAATCTTAAGGTATGAAAGAAATGTGGTGAATCGGTTAAATGTGCTTGTGAGTCTTCATTGACTAGGCCTGTCAAAAATTAACCTCAATGAAACTGCCATTAAAATACAAGGAAGCAGTGAACAGCTGTTTCCTTCTTGTATGAGACTTTATAAATACACACACATGACTTCCAGGTATCGCGGTATGCCCTAAACTATCAGAACCACTGGGTTGACATCCAATTTATAGCTCCGACCTCAATTAATTTCCGACATTCTAGTGATAAACATTAAGTGTTATGGTTCATGTTTGTTGTAGGTGAGATGAATATCATCAGCGACCTCGTAATGCCATTTATTGTCAATGTCCAATGGTGCAATTTCAACTCAGTTTGTGATAAAATGCAACGGTCATGCAATGTGATTGGTGACAACTGTTTCGCTTTTGACATGCCTCTTCATTCTCTTAGGCGGTAAACAATAACTAAAGAGGAAGAATTCATGAGTCCTTACCCTTATGGAAAAGAAACATTATTTTGCACACTTCAACCCTGCGCATTTAGTTAATTAGGTAATAATAAATGATTTGTAAAATCGTCTTTGATTATAAAGTCTTTTCATTTTTTTCTATCTTTCATAGTCAAGCAAAGATCCAAATGCATTCAATACTCGAACTATTGGTCAAACAATGCATATTCAGTTGACAAAGATGCTAACTACCGGTCTTGGTTTCACATTGACTAGTCGTGATACACAAACACAAAGTTCACAAATGTCTGATCCGGTGTATGTGAAAAAGATTTTACCCGATGGCGCTGCTATACAAGATGGACGTTTACTGGTCAGTGTTTTACTGAACTATTGAATATGACTTATTCTATTGTATACTTTGGATAGAGACTTTTGATAGGAAATGTTTTTCATTTTATGCACAGTTCTTCAGCTGGATATACCTGTATCTGAGTGTTGATGTCTCGACTAAAACCTTAGTTAACAGCCCTCTTTAAACGTCATACTAATCTGCTCTAGTCTAAAAATCAGCTTCTTCAGCCTTCAAACGCCCTGGTATTGTCAAGAATGACTGCAGTCTATTTTCCCTTTCAAAATTCTTTAATATGATCGTTTTTACAGTCTCCTGATAAAATTTTACTCACTGCCTTCACTCAGCAACGCATTTTCTATACCAAACCGACAAAATTATAAGAAAACGTCCGGGAGTTAGACTGGTTTGGTAAATATGGAAGATCTCCAGGGGAGTTGAAAAATCCTGATTTCAAACCAGTTTTGTACATGGGTTATAAGATCCCTAGGGGACAAACGAAGTATAAATCTATTTTTGCTTATTGACCATCATGGGGCTACAGCTCCTGGCGTTACTCCACTATCTCGTAGATTAGATCTTATAATGAAAGGTTCGCGGAATTGGGCCTTAATAAAAAGGTCTGCTTTAGTTTTATCACCCGAGCAGTATCCCAGTGCACACAAATTTTGTGTAAGCTATTCTAATTTTGTTGCCCAATTGTATGTGATATTGATGTGAGTTTAGTAAATAAATGAATAACGGTGTTTTTTAAAAATGTGTTTGTTACTTACTGTTGTATATAAAATGGTTTATTCTTTTCGGTTGTTAATACTCAGGACTGAATTTATCAGTTTTCGTTTACTCAAACACTTATCCAAGAAATCTATCTGTGAACAAATGGCTCATCGATGAAGTTCTAAATATCGACAACCAGGTTAAAATCAATTCGTACAGTTAGTAGTTCTCTAGTTCGTTGATTATTTGGATTGATTATGATGTGCGACCGAGTGTTGATTGATTGCTAACAAGACCAGAATTAATTAAGCGAACCGCTTCTCATCGCTCAATTAGAGGTTTATCTTTAATTAAATGTACAGGATTGATGGATACATAAGATTTGTTCTGCCAAATTAAACTTCTATTAGTTGTTTGAGTTTTTCCATTGATGTTTAGGACTGCAGTTGATCAGTCTCATATTGACAGATGTACATCCTGTGCGGATTACCTCGGTATTGCCTTAAATCACAGACAGTGGAATCTAGGACACGTGTTTGGTCCTGTTTGGGACTCGTCAGCTGGATGTACCTGTAACACCTAGTGAATTTAAACTTCACCCCATCGCACAAGAACGTGTTTTTTCTCATAGCTTATTGTACTAGTCTTTGCTTACTTATTCAATAACTTGTGCTGTTGTTACAGATGAGATACTCTGGTGACTGGTAGTATGTAATTATTTTCTAATATAACAAAACACCTCGAAAGAACTACTATAAGTTACTGATATGAACTTTATTTTTCAAGTGAATGAAGCCACTTTTAGTGGTGGTGAGAAGTTTCCACTCTTTGCAATATCACGTTTTAACCCCGTTTTTAAGCTCAGTTTATCTAGAATAATGGATGGATATCTATATTTGACCAGTAAGCACTTTTGAAAGTGTCTAAAGTTTTGTCAGTTTACAAGTCCTAAGTTCTGCTGGCAGTACCAATACACGACAAGATGCACATTACTGACCTCATGATTGTTTTTTTATTATCTCATTTTCCTCTGGTTACAACTTCACTAATATTTTAAGTTATTCATTTTCATCTCATTACAATTAAAATATCCGATACGACAGATGTTAAGCCGAATATATTTTATAATTTATTTATTCATTCCCAGGCCGGTGATCGTCTATTGGCTATTGACGGTGAAGAAGTTCGTTCATTAAATCAAGTTTTGTCACAGTTACGATCATTGACACCAGGGAAACAAGTGGATTTGCTTATATCTCGGCAAATTTCTTGTGATTTAGACTCGAATACCCGTAAATCTTCACAGAAACACTTACCTCCACGTGTAAGTTCATTGTGTTCGTTTTAATGTCACTTTTTAATATGTTTATTGGTGACTTTTTTGATGAGGTTATGTGGATTGCAGTGGTTGAATTTTTCAAACATTCATGTACTTAGCGACATGTTTTACAACAAGAACGTTTTATTTTTGTCTAAATACCGAAATTGTAATTCCAAGCGATGATGAACAGACTACGTTCTTCAGCAAAACTTAGAGACGCAATTGATGATTGCGATGTATAGTCAAAATAAGATTACGTTCTGATGAAATTCGTTTTGTTGTTTGCAAGATGGATTAGATAGATATTGCGATAAATTCAATCTTGAAGTGGTATGGAAAAATTTTATATACTCTGACCTGTTTCTAAAGGTTCGAATAGTTTTTTCTGGTTAGCGTTTTTTTTTAGCGAGTTAGTTTTCTACGGGATGGGGTCGCTAACCCCGTGTCCAACCCTCCTCCTTTATCCGGGCTTGGGACCGGCAGTAGCCCCCAGAGGGACTCCAGGCGGAGTTTCTGACCTGTTTGGTCAGATATATTTGTTTTTCTTTGCAATTTTATCAACACATACCTTACTTGTTTTGTAAGTAATGTGAACATCACGTGCGTTATGTTTATATGTTAAATGGTCGGACGTAGTTGTTAGGATACTTTTGTTAATCTAAGTATATTTGTAGTTGGCACTCAATAACAAGTGGTATCTGGGATCTTAAAGTAACTGTAGCATTCGAACCCACTGTTATATCCCGATGAGAATAAGAAATGCTAACTTTTGGGACCCATTTATGGACCAATACTATACGTATATTTTTGTCGTATAATTGTCAAGTAACTAAACTGTTCATATTCGTGTCTCTTTTATTATGAGCTTTATTTTGACCTGTGAACTATTATTATACGATTTAACATTCTTGAGTTATGCCCTGTCTGTCAATTTCTATCTCCCATGTTCATAGCTACTTTTGGCTAAATTTTGTACGAATGTTGTTTCCTATTTTATGGTACGATGTGGTCTGTCTGGTTGGTATATAAACCCAGTATGTTTGAAATACATTATTCATACCATAAAGGCTGAGATTGGTGTTCTGGAATCAACAAACAGGAGGGGCTAGGTAGGAAGAAGGACCGATAAAGACTCTAGACTGCTCGTACAGGTTTTATGCGTCGATAAATTACTGTTCTCTAATTGGCGGTATTGTTACGTTATACATTAACAGGGCACACAGGTCACAAGTTATAACACACATCATCCCCTTTCACAGTATGAGATGTTACTACTGAGTTATTCGGCGTGTAACTAACCACCTTTAATACTGAGATATTTACATTGATTAATCAATGATTGGTGACTAATATTTTGTTTGTCTGGTCCTTTAGAACTGATTAAATCCTATCGATCAAGTGTGATAGTATTGATAATCTTCGTGGAATAATGAAATCTGACTGACTGCTCAAAAACAACCACTTACACATAATGATCCAGTTACATTAAAATCATTTTATTTACATTTGGGTTCGAGTCCTGGGTTGAACAACAATTCGTGGATGCTTGACGAGTCCCAAAAAATAGGACGAAACACACGTTTTAGATTCCACTTTTAGTCATTATCTATCTCACCCGATCACTGTTTGTTTTTTTTGTTCACTGTGAACTAGTAAACGTCATACACGAGACTACAATATACCTTACTCATTTAGTTTACCTATTATTCAGGGTTGCTCATGTTTGTTTGTTTGTTTGTTTATTTATTTTTGGTAATTTCTATGATAAAAATTAATGTGAGAAATTCTCTTCTTTTTATCAGTGTGATCACTGTAGTTGATTGATAATTATCACTGGTATTTTTAAGAAGAAGAAAAAAAAATCTTCTGTACACATTCCTAATCAAACTGTCAAATGTTGATAGACACCATTGAATTGAACCTTTTTTCTGGTTCTACATACTCTATGATCTGTGTATGTTTGTATGTATGTGTGTGTGTGTGCGTGTGTATACTTACTGATTATGTTGAGAGAATGATAACGAAATAGAAAAGAAAGTGATTGTGTAAAGAACACAGAAGAAGGGTATTCATTTATATGTTAATGTATTATTTATCAAAGAAGTTTGAGAATAATCATTTCGTCTTTATGGATTTAATATGATAGCTGATAATTTTATCACGTTTATTGACATTGATTTCAAATTATAGTGGTATTTTCTTTTCATCTTAATTGTTAGGGTCAACTTTTGTTTATGAATAATGGAATGTTTTTATGTTGTTGCCTGGTACTGAACTTCGTACAGTCATTCATTCAGTAATAGACATTGTCAAATTTGATAGATATGGAACTTTGAGTTGATGAAGATTTGTAGTTAAGAAGGTGTATGATTTCTATTGAGTTTTGTTCTCTGAGCTGAATGGTTTAACCATGGATTTTTTTGTTGTCGATGCTTTTTTGATGTTGATGATGAACATCTTTAAAACGAACTGTTCCAACTGTGAGAAACACTACATTGGATAAGTAGGCACCTTCTTTATCTTCATAATGTGTCTACATTGATATCAATGCACATGGATACATGTTCAATTGGAAAAATGTTGAGATTTTGGATAGAGAAAATATACAGAAGATCAAAGTGTTTCTTAACACTTGGGGTTAGGTAAATCAACGATCAATAAACACATCAAAATCGACCCAATTCACCAACCATTTGGAAAAGTCATGGACTTACATATGATCATGAATCAGATCATATTCTAATGTAGGCATCACCAGGCTACTTTTATGCTGAATCTAGAATGTGACGTTGATCATTGGTCAGACTTGAGTTGTTGAGTTATGCATCTTATTTTTGATAGTTGGATTTATCTAACTTACAGTGGTACATTGATGACTTAGTTGGTTAAAAACCTCGACTTTCAACCAATAAGTCTCAGATAGAAATCTTTGCCCTGCCTAGTTTGGTTTTGGTAACTGGGTAGGATTACATTAGCTCTTACATAATAAATATGTTACTTAGAGCAAATCACATAAATAATTGTACTTGGTGAGTCAGCTTCAAATAATTATCGGTTGTTCTTATTCATTCCTTTTTATTAATATTTAGCCGTTTATGACTTGTACCTTTGAGTATCAACTTCCATTGGATACTACTACTAATCAATCAGATACTATAAAAGGACCTCCAGTATTAGGAATCAATTTCAAATGGTCTAATGATATTTTAACATCACCATTATTATCTTCATCCCCATCATCACCACAGACAGTAACTACAAAGTCAATTACAAGACCAGCTTCTCCATCTCAGTATTCTCCTATACCAGGTTTATATGTCGATAGTCTTCTGCCTGATACTCTTGTTACTTCAAGCAATCATGTAACTGTAAAAACTGGCGATCGTCTTGTTGCAATTAATGGGGAATCTGTAGATGGAATGAATGCTAAAGTAAGCTAAAATGAATAATAATATTTATTCTGATTCACATATTGGTGAATTGATTTTCTCTGAATTTCATAGAACATGTTATGTAATAATGTAAGGGTGACTTTAGAAATAATAACATTTGACTTCTTCCCTTACTTGAAGATATCAGGCAAGTGTTTGGAACTATGATAGATTCATTACAATATAAAACATTTATTCCATCAATCATGCTAAAACTGTTATTAATTATAAATTATTAAGACGAGAATAGCGAAACATTGCTCGTATATCATGGGATCATCGAGTAAGTAACGGAGTTGTTAAAAAACGGGTACTAGGTAAGGATGGCAAATCCATTGATGAAGTAGTGAAACTTCATCAGTTGAGATGTCTGGGACACGTGTTACGTATGCCCAACGACCGACTGCCTCGACGTGCGATGTTCAGTGGTATAGGAGTAGGTTGGAAGAAAGTTAGGGGCGGCCAGACCAAAACATGGCACAAGTCCATGAAGTCACTGACAAGTGAACTGAGTCATGTTGGTAGGTGTAGACTACCTCAATTGGATCCGCAAGACGATGGCAACCGATGGTTAGAGACCTTGAATGATATGGCTCAAAGTCGTTTGAAATGGCACAGGTGCATCCACTCTTTGTGTTCTCCAAAATTCTAATCTCCTGATTCCTCCTTGTCTCTTTTTTCTATTTCGAAATTTATTTCGCTGGATTATACTTCTTGAATAACATCTCCAAACCCTAATGTTTCCGATTACTGCTTATACTCTTACTACCTCTACCACTACGGGATTTGAATCGACAATTGTATCTCTGTGCTAATGTGGTATGGCACCTCGAACTGATGTACGTACGTACGAAGTTCCACGTTGTTACTGACTGACCGACTGAAGACGAGAATAGAATATATTTCTTTTGTGTACACAGGCTAGACTTAATTTATCCAATAATTAAAACTTCTTGGATTTCAGAAGATTTCAGAAATCTATAATTAGATTGAAATCGAACTCATATTCTCTTCCCTTTGATCAGTATATACATATGCTGAGTCATGCATGCTGTTGTATGTATCTGTTGAAAGCGAACACTAGCTAGGATTCTTTTCTTTTCTTTCTAATTGTTGGGAGTTCTTAGAAAATTCCTTTGAAGCTAGGAAAAATGTCAACAGTACTATGTTTGATAATTTTTGAAAAGTTTGTAAGACGATTGATTATATCTTTCTTATTTTGATTAAACAATTACCAGATTGGTTGCCGATTTTCGTATGTTTTTCGTTGTTTCTTGCATATTTCCGACCTGTTTCTTTGTTCATTGTTTCTGGAGACTATTGAATTGCTGAAAGTTAGTGCTTATTAGGAAGTCCTACTTACTGCCTTCTCGCGGCAGGGGTGTTGCTTACGAAACTAAGAGCACGAAAACCGAATGTCCGGCGCTTTAACGGGGTTGGTGGACACGGAGAGTCCACATAGGGGGGTTGTAAAGTCATCATTCCAAACCAATGGTACACATGGGCTCCAGTATCTTGAAGGAACAAATTGTGTGCGAATCTGTTATTGGTCACCGACTACCATGGGACTGCATCTCCTGACGTTGCTCAACTGCCTTGTGGATCAGACCTTTAGATCGAAGGCTTCAGGTGTGCTCCCCTAAAAAAACCATCTGCCTAGGTTTGGGTGTCTGGGCAGTATTCAAATGATTTATGTGGTGCATATATGTTTTGTGCCTTCTTGTAGCTATGTTTATGTGTTTAAATAAATAAATAAATAATAAATAGTGTTTAAGGAGTTCAAAGTACATGATTTAGGAACATGCGAACTGGTAAAAGCCTGCATATAGGCAATTGGATAAGAAAAAAAAGTCATCTTTTATGTACTCAGAAATCATTTTGAAGTCTGTAGCTGTTAGATAATCCATACTCAGTCCTTATTATGAGCTTACAGGATTTTAGGAGTTTGGTCGGTTTGTATATTCTTTACTTCATGAATTAAGTTTAACCAGGATGGATAGAGAATGCTGGTCGGCGACCTATGCTCCATTGGGAGTAACAGGCGTAAGTAAGTAAGTAAGATACTCGCTGAAAAAACTCAGTTGTATTGATCAACTGTTTCATCTTAGTATATAACAACTCCTTAACCATATGGATTCAGGGCTGCATCAGGAATGAAACTTAGAATTCTCAAACTTAACAGTATGTAAAAAAAGATCATAATTACAAAATGGGTCAAAAATATTTAAACAGTTGAAATCGGTCAAAACTAGAACAATCATTTTACTTTTGACTTATTCAGATTGAAGAAAAATGAGAAAAAAAAAATTATATTCAAGAAAATTCCCAAAGGCTATAAATAAGTGGTTACGTGTAACAAACTAGTGCTTATGATAAATAAAGAATAAAATGTGTAATTATCAGTTAGTTAAATAAAGATAGATTTATTGAAGTAGAAGTGAGTTGACAAAGTGACATAATTATGTAATTCATCGAATGAAATCATTGAAAATATTCTTATTATGTAATCAAATAAATTTTATATTATCAAGACAAAGATAAACAATATCAACCGTTCCTTTTCGAACATAGAAATGAGATTTTGGGTTACATGATAGAAATGGCTATTGTAAATTTGAAAATATTACAGTTCAGTTGATTATTAATCATACTGGAAAATTTTTAAGGTATCAACTTGATGTTCTGTGTTCAAATGATCTTTGAAGATTGAACCATTCATCAAAAGGCTTGTTTCATTTTGGTTGGTTGCTTTGTGAAACATGTTTAAAGAATTCAAATGATTACCTCATTTCCTGTTCGACCAGTGTAGCTGCCGTTGTAGATACATGTAAATTTATAAACCAATTTGACGGTAACATAAAAAAGACACTCATCGACTATTCAGTTATTGAATACGTTGTTTGATACAGGGTTAATAGTTAAGTTCCAGAAAAGGTTCTGGTTACTGAATCGTTCAAAATTCTACTGGCGATCACTGCAACATTATTACCTTTTTTAAATTGAGATGGATGAAGGTTGATTTTTTGTTGACTGTAGCCACATTCGACTTGTTGTGTTTTATTTTTTAATGGTTTTTTTCGGATAGCATTTGTTTTTTAGTCACTTTTCAACATTCACCAATCTTTCTTTCTTGAAACCATAAATTGATCAATGTTAGACCACCATTGAGAACCTGGAAGCACTGGACGGCCGTTTCGTGTTAGTGTGGGAGTCGTGAACAGTGTACGCCTTCGATTTCGCACGCGGGCTTAGAACCCAGAACGTCAGGTTTCACGCTCGAACGCTTAACCTTTAGACTAGTGAGCTGGCTCCAACGTTATGAATTTCCTACTTTAATCAATCAACGCACTTCTGAGGAGTCCCATATTAGGACGAAAAGACTATCCAGTGCTCCCAGGTTTTCAGTGGTGGTCTAACATTGATCAATTCATGATCTCAACCAAAAACTCAACAATCTTCACAATTTCATCCTAATAATCCTTCTTTCAGTTTTTCGATTTTACATACATACCCGTTATACTCTATAGAACAGTATTTAAACAAATGCCTTATTATAACTGAGTAGACAAAAATTTATTAAAGTTCATGTACTCTTTAAATAAATCGAATGCTATATGGTAATGTGAAGCACATGGAACTTGTAGATCTTTTCATATTCCATTAAGTAAACTGGATGTAATGATACGACCGTGTGTTGAAAATCCTAACAGTCGGATTACCCACTGTTCACAACATAAATGTATAATTCAGTGTATTCTGTTATGTTGTCAATTTCTTATTCTTGCTACTTATTTTCAAGATAATACATAAATACTTCAGGTTTTAGATTGCTGATAAGAACCTGAAGAACTAAAATAAACATATGTTATTCTATTCAATTGATTGCTATTATATCTATTATCTAATAAAAGGAAAGTATTTACTTCAAAATGTTAATTTATGGTGTAACCTACCATTCCTTTTTTTTAAATATAAGCTTTATATGTGATTATATGAATTATTCGTTATTGGCAAAGTTACTACTTACCTAATTTTTGATATTTTCATATAAATGGTATATAGTTAATAGTGGGATCAAGGAACATGTATTTCTTCCAGTTTAGGATTCGTCGGCTGAATGTCACTGTATCTCAATGTTGATGTTCACATAGTGATTCAACCCTAGTACTTTTTGCTTTAAATTCCTAAAAGACTATCCATTGAGCTACTGATCTCAGATGTTTAGTGCTTTACAATACTCTTACTAATGTTTTTTTTTTCACCATTTGTCGACGAAAACTCATTATTGTTTAGGTGGGGTTTTATTCTCTGAGCTGGATAGTTTGGTCGTGAAGCTTTTATTGTTCTTCTGAACAACATCATTAGCACAAACTTTAGGGGAAAATATAGTGTTCGAATTTTGAAAAAAACTCCACCTGAGCTACAACTTTCCAGTATTATTGTTTAATTTGTGATGATAAACTACATATCTTCTTCAATACTTATGTTTATAATACTACCGAGGATTCATTCGTTTACTTTTTTTGGGGGTATTTGTTTTACTCTAGACTATTGTAAATAAGTTGAAAAATGTTATCAAACAATGTCATGAGCGAAATATTAGTAACTCCGATCAATCGTCAGCCTCATTCACTCTCACTGTTCATCGATATAAGAATCAAAATGATCGTCGATCAAGTGTTGGAGATACATTGAAACTAACATCTGCACATCCACCAAGGTAAAATGATTTATATGTGTTTGTGTAGGTAAACAAACTTTGTAGTTTTGTCAAAATATTTGATTTACTCTTCACATTGAGACTTTGGTTTAGATACGATCAGTAGGATACGTTTTTATCGTTCATCGTAACCTATCGATCAAATTTTATTAAGTGACTGAATATTACCATCCATTTTGCTTTGAGGTTAGCACCCAATGACGCAATATTTTATGCAATGCAAGCAATAAAGTATCGTGATTTATAGAATAGAGGTTTACTGTTGTAATGATGTTCAGTCTGACTTGATGGACTAATAACTTGACCTGTAATACATCCAAACCCATTCTTTAAATCATTATTTAGGCTATCAATTTTGTGTTATTGTTACTTGTTCTGTTGTCGATTAGTGAATGTAAATGGTTCTCATGATCAATGGTGGCTTAGTGATTCAAACACTCAGTTTTAAATCGTCAGATTGGATGTTCGAACCTCTCATCTGGATTTTACTATGTATCTTAAAGAGGCATAGTGTCAACAATCTTCATATATGAATCAAAACTCTGTAGATACTTAGTTCACGAATTACATTTTTCCACTGAAATTATTCCATCTCATGTTGCCTTCACTGAAATACAAGTCTAACGGTTGAAGATTATTGCTACAAGTACAATAAATAAACTGTCTAGAAAATATGAAAGCTTCGTAGCTTTCATTATTTTTCAGTGCTTATTCCACGTAAAAATGAACTATTTAGTTGTCTGCCCATTCTCAATAAACATAGTTACACTCGCAATTTTATCACAGTGCCTAGTAGGTTGATGCATCAACAAAAGATTATCTTCGTGAACCACTAAACAAATCTCGTGTTGATTGAAATTAGAAATGTTAACCATTGGGTGCTAATTTAATTGTTTAAAGGTTAAGTGCACATCGTGATACCTAAAGGTTTTAAGTTTCGACCTGCCACTCTCTGGTTGAAAAGGACTCTTAAACTAGGATAACATAACATTCCGGTTCTCTTTTCCCATGATCGGTGTTTTCACACATATGATATTCATCCCAGATATTAGCACAAGGATTTTAAAGTGGTTCGGAATCAACATCCTTCATAAGTCAACCGGATCATTTTATTCCATTTTATGTAGACTGAAAAACAAAGCATCGAAGTTAAACATGAAATATTATTTACAAAATACATTGTAGCTACTAGTATAAACATCATCTTGAACATCCTGTGTCTCTATACACATCAACCAACAAAAAATAGCAGTAAAAATGGCATGGTATCCCATCAGTGCACGTAGACAACCACGTATTTCAATGTAAGTAGGAAAACGTGAAAACTATAGTCCGAGAATATTCTGGCATGATGATATTCAGGTCAACTATTAAACAGGTCAATATATATTTGATTAACCGATCTATGCAAAAAAAGCCAACGTCGATTTGCATCGTTAGATTTTAGTCATGCGAACACATTCAACTGGAACAAAATGATAGGTGAAACTGATTAAAACGTGGAAGACTATCATTCATAGACTAGTTCGTCAGAACAGAGTAACTTAACACTTGTGGAATGACCAAAAGTCTCTCCTCTTTTTTTATATGGGAGGTAAGCTCTACTGGTATTGCCTAAAATAACAATGAAAGTTTTCTGATCAAACCATTCAGCTAAGAGAATACAACACAACTCGTGCTATAAATTTTCTCTATAATTTCATTGTTAATTACTTATGCCCGTTACCCCTCGTGGAGGAGCGTAGGCCACCCCCCAGGACTCTCCATCGAACTTTGTCCGGTAGCTCTTTTAGGGTTACTGTCGATCCCAAGCCTGGGTAAAAGAAGAAGATTGGGCATGGGGTCAGCAACCCTATCTCGTAGAAAAAAGCCTTGCTAAAAAAACGCTAGCCAGAACAAACAATTTAAACCATCTAATTTCAATCTATTATTAACTTATTTGTGTGCTGAGAGCTCTAAAGTATTAGAGTGTAATTAATTTTTGGTCCTAGTCTCATTCAACTCTCTCGCTGATGGAGATTTATATTGAGATAAGTTTTATAATGTATAGGCTTTAGATAGCAAATATATATTCACATTTATAGCACTGGGCTGGATGATCTATGTGTGGAATGTTTTTTAAATTGAATTGACTTAACAGGTGGTTTTTATATTCCATTGGACATAGATTCATCAAGATTTGATGATAAATACATTCATTGTTGTAGTTAGTTATGAACTGCTTAGGACTTGGTACAGAGATGTATATCAACATGAACTGCTACACTTCAAATCACATCATCAATAGATTGACAGTAATATCAATATTAGTGTAAACTAATTTTGCTCTATATTTATTACGATCGTAATGAAAATTAAAACTCTTGTATAGTTCATTTATTTTGCCTATAACCTTCACATGGAATTTATTCAGGTATTTCCCACAAGACACTAATGACCACAACATTCTATAAACAAAACTATCAGATCTCTTCTTATCTTAGTTGTAGACACATTAGAACAATACGTGGTGAAGCAGTAGAAAAGGGTCATCCTGGTCGTCATGAACATAGTAAATTGAATAGCCCAGCTGATTCACAAGATACTTGTTCGTTATCGTTTACATTAAATGATAGTCGTCGACGTCTGTTATATAGATCTGACTCGATATCTTCTGAAATTGGATCACATATATTGCATCATGATTATCATGGGGATTCTCATTCACATTTATCTAGTCAAAGATCAGATATTCATGAGGATAATCATCTGTTGTCAACAGAATCGTTGTTAAAAGTAAACTATCCTACATCAAGAAATTTATCAGTACCATCTAACAGAAATTTTTTACGTGATGGATTTGGACGTCGTAGTGTTTCAGAAAAACGTCATGGTCATGTGGATGCTTCACAATATTCGTTTTTTCAAACAAATATCCTTCCTAATCGTTATAAAATGCCAGAAGGTAATTTTAGTCTGCTTAGTATTTCACTAATTAGTATAAATTAAAAAAAAATGACTTAGCAAATTAAATTCATTTGAAGATTGTTTTCAACTTGAACTGACTAACTTCAGAGATACAACTTTTATACACTAATCAACATTCGGCAAATGCTTCGCTTTATTCCAGGATTCTTCAGTAATACACTTCACATATTCTACTTATAGTCGGACTCAGAACAATGAGAACTTATGATGAACATTTAGATCACCCGGTTGGGGACCACGGCTTCAATTCCTACTGACATAACTTAATCTTTATCGACTCTTATCGGTGAACAATTATCTCATTCGAGATTTAGTTGACTCTACAGATCATACTGAATTCAATTCATGGGGGTGGGGTGGGACTATTTGTGTCAAATTATCGTGCAATCTACTCATCTCTACTCATAAAAATAACTAAATGGTGACATAGGCAAGGATGGATAATGGCTAGCGGTAGAATCCAAGACGCGTATTTCGCCCTATTTGGGACTCGTCAGCTGGTTGTACCAAGTGAGTTTAAACTTCACCACATCGCATAAGCAAGTGGCTCTCAGGACCCAGTAACTAAGTGGATAACGCAATGGTATTTGAAGCGAACGGTCCCGGGTTCATGTCTCAAAGTGAACATAAACATTGAGAAGATGCATGTACATCCAGCCGACGAGTCCAAAATAGAACGAAATCCGCGTCTTAAATTTCACTGCTAGCCACTATCCATCTTTGCTTATAATGCTTATGAATTAAGGTAATGTCGAGGCAATACGCACAGGAATCACATATGTCAATAAGAGACTAACCGTTAGATAATACCACTACAAGCTTAGAGGTGTTCATGAAAATAATGATGAATGAATAATAAAGTAATTAAATCAATAACAAATTCATTAAACCATTTTGTCATAAAAAAATTGTCAGATTCCATCATATCTAGTACGTGCATTGAGAATATTTTCAATAAAATGTTAATAATGGTCACGTAATAACGAAACGAGTATAGTTTAATAATTATGTGTGAGCAAAAGATCAACTAAATATGTGAGAATTTTGTCAATAAAGCACAAGGGAGAGGATAACATATTATTTGTAACTCGCTTCAGTGTTGTTAATGCTGATTTCCAAGGTAAAAAGATCGGTTGTATAGACTTTTTTATGAATTCATAAATCTGTTCTATTATGATGGATATGGTCGAGACATTTATTACATATACTTAACTACCTCCTACCTCTACAAGAGATCCTCGCAAGTGTGGAAGTAGGTCTAAATAGAAGTAAAGGAAGCCAAAATAAAACATGACATCAGTTTGTGAAGTCATTTACTAATTGATCTGAGCCATGTTGGTAAGTGCATATAATCTTATTGGCATGCACATGACAATTGCGTTGATCTGGAATCCCAGTATCCCTTCAGATATACTTTTCCACTCTATCTATTCGAACTATATTCCAAATGTTTAGTGTTCATTTGTATCATTGATATTACATTATTTCTATCCCTTTTGTTGTTTTTATATCTTTGTGCTGATCAAGTATGGTAACGTGAACTAATGATATTTGTGCCAGGTTATGTTGATGAGACCTGTCCGTCTGCTGACTGTGGAGTCTTAATTAGAAAAAAGCACCGTGTCCTAGACTCCGTTGCTAGTCATATACTATCTTTGAAGAGATTACGAGAATACACAAATCGCTGAACCGAACGGCAAGACAAACTAAAGTATTTCAATGGGTCCCAGCTTCAGACTAGGTTCAATTGAGGGAAAGGTATATTCCACAGGCAGCCAGGACCACGAACAAACCAAACACACAACTCAAGCATGCATATATATACAGTATGAAAAAGTCCTTGGACGCCTTAAAATAGTGTATTTATGAGGCAACGAATCAATGACATTTAGGATCTTTCCAAGTAGGTATTACAATCTGAAGGTAAAAATGTACGCTTTTGGCGTGAAAACGGAAAATTCAAACTTCCAAAATAAAATTACAAAAAATAAAAGGTTTACCAAGAGATTTCTGGGGATCTAGTATCCTCAACATGTACTTTACAAATAATTTATTTTTTCCAAAAAAATATTTTTTGTTGTTGCATACTACTCAAAATAATACTTTTGATAATGACAATTTTTGTTCTCCATTTTCTAGTTTTTTTGTTATAATAATATTTATTTAGATGTTGATAAACAATATTCCACTATGCCAACAACACGTCGACTTAAAATGCATAAAGCTCGATTAGCCGCTGTTGTTGCCAATGTAGATTCATATTCCTCGATTGGTGGAGGAGGTCTAATATTTAACAATTCAACATCATGTACAAGCTCAGGTCCTTTAAAAGCATTACATCCATTAGACAATGTACTTCCACAATCTTTATCAAATACATCTTACCGAGGTATAATATTGAATGCATATTGTTATTTAATGTTTATTCTTTATTATTTATTAAATTCGTTGTATTCCTTTGAATAACATCTCAGTGATTAAATCATCATTCATACTTTGTTTACACTAAGTTTCTTTACAGTCTAATGACTGATTTATTTAGGAATTCAATTTTCAATTATTAAGGGTAATCACGCTTGAATTTCATTCAATTTGACTTTAATCATTGAATCGTGTTATTTGACTCGAATTATTTTTTTCAGAACTATAAGTTGTAATTTGATGTATCTGACCCTATAATGAGTAATTGATAAGCGTTGTGTGTTTGTTGTCTGGGGATATCAGTTTCCTCAATGTTCAAGATATAACAGATTAGGCATAAACATCCAAATTTATTTTTTTAAACACATAAACATTGGTACAAGGAGGTATCAAATAGATATGCGCCACACGATGAACTTGATTTGTGTGTGGGCTGTGATACTGCCCGGGTGCCCGAACTGAAATAGGTGGTTTGCTGAGGGAGCCACACCCAGAAACTTCGACCTAATGATCTGATCCAAAAGGCGGTGACGCAGACCCCGTGGTAGTTGGTGACCAACAATAGGTTCATAGGCAATTTGTTCCTTCAGGATATTGAAGCCCATGTGTACCATTGGTTTGGAATGATGGTTTTCCAACTCCCCTATGTGGACTCTCCGTATCCATCAACCCGGTTAATGCTCCGAACATTCGGTTTTCATGCTCTTAATTTCGCAAACAACACCCGTGGTGCGAGAATGTAGTGAGTAGGACTTTCCTGGTAGTGCTTGTATACACGTGACCATGTGAGAGCATTTGGAGTGGGAGAGTTGTCTCTCCCTACTCTTAGCCGTATCAGGGCATTTGGGGGCAGACATCCAAATAATAAAATACTACCTTATTGTCTATATAACTCTATAAAAAACATATCTGATATCTGTTTTATTGAATCATGAATGGCCTACTGAAAAAAGTTTTATGTATTTGCCTTTGGTTTAGTTTGATGTTAATCTTGTTACTTTATTGACATTTGGCTACTACTTTGTAAAAATCTAATATACACCCTACTAACAGGTCTTTAACTATGTGCATCGCTTGTTTGAAACAATCGTTTTTCCGTATCAATTTACCGCTGATTGTAGTAAAGTAGCTTATCAATTATGTCTCCTCCTAGTCAATAATACTACCGTGTTCAGTCAAAAAGGTGTTTGAAATCTGTCGATTTTGCTCCTTTCCATTGGATTGTGTGACTGTTTATTTCGTTTATTCTGATTTGCATATTCGCCTCATTCATTATATAAAAGCTGATTTTAATCAAGGTAGTCTCTTTCAAGCTATTTACTTTTGTGCGTATGTGTTGATGTGTGTGTGTGTGTGTGGATGTGAATTCCACATATACTAAGTTCATTCATAGTATTGTTTATCCTCAGCTTTAGTTGTCGGCGGTAGTACTGCTAGACTGTCGGTTTTTTTTCCACTGATTTTTTTCTTCCACTTAACCTTACTAATATGTACTCTACATAAGCAATGAAAGTATTCATTGTGTTTGTATTTGTTACTCAGACTTTTCATTATGTCATTAACTGATGAAATGCACTGAAGACGATACGTACATTCAATTATCCGACTACATATCATATTATCCAGTCAAACCTATTATCAATCATCAGTTTCTTTAGTTATTGTTCTTTTAAGTGCCAACATTCAACAGAAAAGTTAATTTTGATTCAAACTTCTATTTACATCCGTGAACATTAAATACATCCATCTGTTGTAATATTTTCTTTTATTTTTATCATTCCAAACCAACTCTTCGTTCTTAATCATTCCTACATCATCATTTTAACTATTGTAAACACATCTTCAAAATGTTCTGAATCGATTGTTTTTCTCTAGCAGGATCTAAATGTTACTTGATGACATTTATAGTGAGATTTCATTATTCTTCTGAAATTTGTTGGATTAATTAAATTCCACTTCAGTACATTTCGTTTTCAGTCTTCATCTGACCATGGTCGTTATCTTCAGTGAATTAAAAATCACTGTGTAGATTTTTATTGCTTCTTGCCAGTTGTCTGTAAGAGTAATCGTATTACGTCAATAGATGTTTTGGAGTGTAACCACTAAGTCCTTGTAACATAAGTAGGCTGGAAAATATTTATAGACGATCATATCAAGACATCTTATCCACATATATGAAGTTATTGACTCTTCTCTTGAACCAGTTCTAGGATACATACGTCTTGATTTGGGCTTATGCACTACTCGTAATCAGTAATGACTTGATGCGTTGAATTTTATGTGATAAACGTAGTCAGTGTTATGGTTGCATTCATTCTCTATTTTACTTCAAAATATCGAGTTCAGTATCATTGCTAATATTCCAATCGTCGGTCGTATTTTCACTCTGAAAATGTATTTCTCGTGTTTCGATTTTCACTGTAGTTGAAGTTTATTGCTATACTTCGCTTCTCAGCTAGTCAATTCCCTCCCTTTCTCTGTGTTTGTATTGATGTTAGGTATGACAATTGGAAGTGTTCTACACTCTTGTCCTAAATCTTTTTTTATAATGACTAACTGACTGATATTATCAAATCCAATTTTTGTGTATATTGTGAGGCGGTGACCCAGTAGTTATGACATCCGACCTTCAGACACTATTTTGTATATCCGGACTCCCCACTCCACCTACTTTGATTGGGCCAACTGGATAATATCACTAGACCTCACATTAAAAGTGTGGTTTGAAGCCAAGAACATAAATCTATAATTAATAAATGAATCAATAAGTCCAATATTTAACCAAAGAATATTTCTTCCGATGAATTCTCTCCAGGTCCTACCATTCATATATCCAAACCAATAATCCGAAAAACGGCCAGGTTAAGAGCATAGTGCATCGTTTAAAGTTAAAGCATGTGAATTTTGGATTGTCAAACAAAATAGAATAAAATTGTTAATGTTGATTGGTTTATACTGGCACTATGACCAGTTTCTACTAGATGGGCCAATATCGAGCTGTTCACTTTCTTCATCAGACCTTTGCTTAGCCACATTGGGTGTTCATGAGCACGAAAATGCAAATTCCTAAAATTTCAACCAATATAATTTGCTCCACAGGAGCAGTCGAACTGGTAAATGCAAAATGAGGTGGTCATTCCAGGTAATTCAACTTTTAACCTCTGTGTCACCACTGGGCGTGTAGAAAACACTAATCGTAGTTCTCCGGCGTTGAAAGATTTTTGGGTTGTTCTGCGTAGTCTCCGAGTTAATATCTCGCTAATCGCACCTCTAAATTGTAAGCGCATGAACAGGGATTTTTTATTCACCGTTTATATTTCGCCTATTCTCACCTTTGTGATCATATACTTAAGTGCAAAATTTTCACGGTATTCGTTCTCCCTAATAGTATTACTCAAGGTAATTAGCTCTTCTTCACCTATATCCGTAGAACATATAGTACGTATTCGGTAACTAAGAGTTTTGATCAGGTTTCTTTTGTACAAAGCTAGGGAGGTGTGCGTACTGTCATTTCCAGGTATTTTTTCTACTTAAATTCCTTTTTAATGATCCATTCGCCCTCTTAGTTAAGGGAACGTCCATAAAGGCTATTCTACCATCACTCTCTTCTTCAGATGTAAACTCAATAGCTGGATGTACTTCATTAAACTGCCTAAGAACCTCTTTCTGTGATGTATCATCTTTACAGAGGATGAACGTATCATCGACATATCGACAGTAAAATGTGAATTTTCGAATAATCTTTACGAGTGGACCATTTTCTAGTTTGGCTAGAAAAATGTCAGCTAGTATATGGCCTAATGGTGAACTCATTACAACCTCATCCGTTTGTCTATAGATTTCTCCGTTGGACTTAAAATTTACCTTTATGGTGCATTTCGTCCAGATAAATTAGCTGGACGAAACGTTTGAATTATTTAGATTTCAATCGCTGAGATCATTTCACATATAATGATTTGTGAATAATGATGTTACATCCAAAGACATCATCTTTAGTCCCAAAGTATTTGCATTTTTGATCTTGTGAACAATTCGGAATACATTCTTAATATTGTTTTATAAGTTTTTCATCGCGAGGTTTCAATACAAGTTACCAGCCATTTAGTTATAGTATGATAAAGAGAGTTATCTATATCTAAACTTGGTATTAGTGGGACCCCCGGTTTGTGTACCTTTGGTTATCCATACAATCTTGGCCATATAAGCTGATTCCATATGAGTCATATCAACATTAATAATTTTATTCTATTTTGTCTGATAATCCTAAATTTACATGCTTTAACTTTAGACGATGCACTATGCCCTTAAACTGGTCATTTTTTGGATTGTTAATTTGGATATATGAATCGTAGAATCTGTAAAGAATATTCTTTATTCAAATATTAGTCTTCTAATATGATGGGGATCTTTAAACAATCGATAAGTGTATATATGTGTTATGGAGATTTATTGATCAAGTGGATTATTTTGCTGATGTTGACTTCTTCAAGCTAAACGGTTGAATTGTAGAGCTTTCATTGTCATTCTAGGCAATATCTTTAGCCCCTACCTCCATGATATAACCATCTAGCTTGCAGGATTCAATACTATACTCTCTGTATCGTCAATTTTTGACCAAACAACTGGTCAATCTAACTGAACATATCAAATATATTGTGCTACGCACGTCAGGATTGAATGTATTTCATTCTCTTAAAAAAATATAACCAGTTATTTTAATGCTTCTTCTTAGTTTGTTCTGTTTTTGTTTATCTACATTTTTACACTTATACATTTATGAATGTATTTAAAACTAGGTTCGAAAAATTCCCAATCCAAATCTCTGTAAGTCTCTACTTGTGGTGATAAACAATGGTAATCAGTTAGTCAGCCAGTCAGTGAAAATGCCATTTTCTAACACTAAAAGATTTTATTATTCACTTTCTCAGTTATTTTGTTGTTGTTGTTGGGCTATTGATCTTTTTAGCT